TGAACATCGGGAAGGTTGGACTAGATGATCTCTAGAGGTCCCTTCAACCTTGAACATCGGGAAGGTTGGACTAGATGATCTCTAGAGGTCCCTTCCAACCCTGGAGATTCTGAAGGTCTCAAGGGTGGGTTTCCCTGTCTGAGTGTGTTGGGTTGGACTCAATGATCTCTAGATGTTGGACTAGATGATCTCCAGAGGCCCCTCCCAACCTTGAACATCAGGAAGGTTGGACTAGGTGATCTCCAGAGGTCCCTTCAACCTTGAACATCAGGAAGGTTGGACTAGGTGATCTCCAGAGGTCCCTTCCAACCTTGGACATCCTGTGATGATCAACGGAGGACTCAATACCTGCTGGAAGGTGTTTTCACCTCCTTGACTCATCTTGCTGTGGAAGACTCCTGCGACACACACTAGGTCGTGGCCTACTGGTGCCCGACACGCAGCGAGGAGCTCAAGGCAAGGACGAACAACTAAGCCAGACACCGGTCTCACCTTTGGTGCCCTGAGACGCCACGGAAGGAGGTGGCATCAAGAGGACTTCAGAGCAAGGGCAGACACCGAATTCAGGAACGTTTTAAGGGGGAAACACGTGAATCCCACACTCAACGTATCGTGAAGCTGCTGCAAAATGAAACGGGCAGGGAGGGCTGCTTGTGCTCGAGTTCGTGGGCTTGATATATCTGCACTCGCGAGTGGATAAAAGACCAAAAAGAGGAAAAATACGTGCTCGAAGGCAGCGTTTCAGAGCTCCCCAAGGAGCTCTGGAGGCGTCTGGCGTGGTGGAGTCGACAAGAACTGATCCAACTCAGCGCACGGAGGGACTGGGGCCGTGCCCAAGGCCACCAGCAGGCACCGAGGTGGGCAGCGCAGCGAGGAACTCGGGCCCGATTTGCTGCGAAAAGGACAATTCGGGAAAACAAAAGCAATAGAGACCCCGAGAGACAAAACCAAGACGCCCGTATTAGTTTAAGGAGCTGACAAAAGAAGATGAAAATAACTGTTAAATGCATTATAAACACAGGGCAAAGCAGACAGCAATAGGGCTCGAACTGGAGGAAGCCTAGGAAGGCAAAAGCTCTAGGAGAAATGTTTTAGGTAGGTGGTGGTGAGTCCTTGGGTACCTGAGCTGCTTCCACCACCTTTTATAGAGCCCATCCCTCACTCTAGGATGTCCCAAAACACTCGAAGGAGAGACCAGGGCTCCACGTGGCCCCGTTCCTGGGCTTTGGAGGCGGCTCTGAACCTCCCTTTCAAGCTCCTTTGCTCTTCCCTGCGTGCAGAGGACTCAGCTTGCACCCTGCAACGGAGACTGCGGGGCCGGGCTGGTTTTAGGATTGAGTTGTTACGGGGATATGGGAGAGGGATGAGAAATCCCTCTTTTTTTCCTGGAAATTTGCCTGGAAAGCCCAGAGGTTCCAGGAGAACCACACGAATTGGTGGCGAAGATCCCCAGTTTTTGGGGGGGAAACGTGTCCCAGGGCTGAGGAAAGAGCTGAGTGTCGGGGCTGCCTTCTCGGAGGCAGAAAAAACAGCATTTTTACCGTTCAAAAGCCAGCAGGATGGACAGAAACACCCAGATGGCCCAGGCTGAGTCAACTCCCTCAATTGAAGAGAGCCAATTTTGGGTGTTTTCTATCAGCTGGTAAATATATTTTCCTACACGATGGTTGCTGTGACCAAGAGCAGAGGTGTCCGAGTACGAAGCCCCTCCAGATCCTGGAGGCCAGAGACGGGACACGAAGGGCAGAGCGTCAACCGTGACAGCGGGGAACGACCACGCCGACTTACCAAGGCTTGAGACGGGTCCTTCGGCACGGGCCGGGTCTAACGCGAGAGGCTTGGGGCAGGTCTGGTCCTGGCGACACATACACATGTTCACTGCCGGAGACCTACGGATCCACACCATGCAAGAGGTCACGTATTTTGGGGCAAATCGAGGCGATTTTGCGCGGCGCCAGCTGCAGCTGCAGAGCCGACAGCCTGTCCCAGGCCCTGCTCCGGAATCCACTGCCTGTCCGAGCAGCACTGACGGGATAAACCACTGCAAAACCCTCCTGTGGGCCTTAAATGTCCCTAAGCAGAGGGATTTGCAGCGCAGGCGGTGATGAAATAGAGGGTAACCCCAGTGAGAAGCGCCTGGGAGATGAGCAGAAAGCTCCGATTTTCTGTTTAAGGACAATAAAAAGTGGTGAAATCGTGGAAAGCGTCACGATCCTGATGGTGGAAACGCGTCTTCGCCACGGAGAGAGAACTCGGTCTGTCCCTTCCAACCGCGAATACTCGGTGATACTGCTTAGTGCCACCAAGCAGAGGCCGAAGAGGAGACGCTTATTATAAAACACTATAAATATAACGGAGATTAAATCCCGGCGAGGAAAGAAGGAATAACGGGAGGGGAAGGATGGCGCTGGCTTAGGAGCAGCGGGCACAAAGCAGCCAGGACGGGCAGTTCCTGCCGCGGCAAAATGCTTTAGCTACAGCCCCGAGGGGCAAAAAAAGGCTTTTTTTGGCCCAAGATGGATCATTTCGCGGCAGCAAGTAGGGAGCGGGATGGCTACTGTGTTAACGACCACCTTGGATAACGCAGAGGGGTTTTTTTTTGGGAAATCATTCCTGGCACCCCAATTGTCCCCCCCCCAGCACTGACACTGGGCGGTG